TAATTAAACAGTGCTATTATGCAAATTGCAGCACACGCTTGCTTTCTTGCAACTGAAAAGAGCATCACCTTTAAAAGGGCTTCTGTGTGTGGCACCACAATCATTAATGTGTAAGCAAATATTGACTTTTAACACAGAGCACTATTGTTAAGTGAATTATGAAAGGAGAGTTACAGCCTGCTGCCACACAAAAGGGATCAGGGCTTGTTGAGGGCAGGGAGGGTGTCCGTAGCCTCTGTTTGCCAGAAGCTGGGAATGGGCAACAGGATCACTTGATGGTTGCCTGTTCTGTTCATTCCCTCTGGGGCACCTGGCATTGGCCACTGTCGGAAGACAGGATACTGGGCCAGATGGATCTTTGTTCTGACCCAGTATGGCCGTTCTTATGCTCTTACGTAGTGTGTTGCACATTTTGTGGTGTCACCTTTGGAAAGCCAATGGAGCCCAGTTGTGTGCGTGCACGCACAGACAGCAGACAGACACACACACACACACAGAACCGCACTGGTAAAGCAAAGCAGTTCTTCAGGAGCAATTGAATTTCCTTGCTGAGCGAAGCCTCGCAGCTAGGTTCACCCTGCTGGGGGTTCTGCTGGCCTATACCCTAGCGGAGGGTCCTACGGTTGAGAGGCGATTGTGTTGGCAGTGGATGGGTGCTCAAGTTGTTGTCACTCCCAGTGAGCATTGAGCAGCTTGTGCTCCACCCCATATGCACTGAAGAGTGAAGAGCTAAAGGTCGCCCTAGTGAATTGCCCATAACCCAGCGGCTTCCTGAAGCTCTGTGCTTGAACGTATTGACTGAACTGGCTCTGCTGTAGCTGTAGCTCTAATGAGAGGTGAAGGAATGCTGAGGGAGGGGAACAGTGGTAACAACACCTGCCCTCTCTTGAGCTGAAGCCTACCTGCGGCCTTACTGGTGCATGGAGATGTGATTATAGTTGTCTATGTTGGTAGGGAGAGAGAGCTCAGTGGTTTAAGCATTGGCCTGCTACATCCAGGGCTGTGAGTTCAATCCTTGAGGGGGCCACTTAGAGACCTGGGGCAAAAATCAGTACTTGGTCCTGCTAGTGAAGGCAGGGGGCTAAACACAATGACCTTTCAGGGTCCCTTCCAGCTCCATGAGATAGGTATATCTCCATATACTATATTATTATTACTTGGGCCATCTTTGAGCTCCAATCAGGAATGCACCAAAGCACATGTTTAAATCAATCGTTGTGCAGGAACGAACTTACCTATAAATACATGCTTTTTCCTCGTTGACTTCAATAGACCCTGAGCAGATGCTAAAGCTGAAATAGGCTTAAATGCCTCCCTGAAATGGGGCCTTAAGTGACTATGGCCCAACAAGTAAGCTTTGATTTACAATGAATTATTTTTTTTAACTTCAAAGTCTGTGTAGATTAATATCATTTTCTCTCTTCTAAGCTGCTCTGTTCTGTGGCTTTCATTTGGGACTGAGGATATACTAATCTGTCCGACCCTTTGTAATGCTGGAAGGGTAGAAGCTTGGTTCCATCTGCATGGGATAACATGGGTAACACAGATCTCTGGACAGTTGTGATCCGCAAAATCTCTTTGCATACCTGACACCCTGTAGAGTTATCTCCTTTCACATCCCTCCACTTGGCAGGCCTTTACTGGAAAGTACGGAGAGCCGGTGCACTGAAGTTTATGGGCTGCATGCATCATCAGACAGACAGATCTGGAACTCGTAAATAAACAAAAAAATGTACTTTGCAGTTAAACAAGATGAGGATGACTCATTGCAGAGAGCATACAACCCACTCACCTACCCAAAGGGGATGAGATATTGCAATGCTGCCTTTGAAACCACCTTTGGAGAACCATAAGCATTAAAGATGGAAAAGCTCCATTAAGTCATCTAGCCCAACACCTCCAGCCAATGTATCACTTTTATGTGCAAAACACATTGATGCTTGCCAACTCATCCTGTTAACATTATCTGCTCTTTTGAGTGCTGATGAGCTGAAAGACTGATGGTAGCAAAAATTTCTGAGGCATCATTACAGATCTTTTCATAAAGTGTCCAGTGGCCACTGTCATTACCTGTGACCCAAAGTGTGATGCCTTAGAATCATAGAATATCAAGGTTGGAAGGGACCTCAGGAGGTCATCTAGTCCAACCCCCTGCTCTAAGGGGGACCCATCCCCAGACACATTTTTGCCCCAGATCCTTAAATGGCCCCACTCAAGGATTGAACTCACAACCCTGGGTTTAGCAGGCCAATGCTCAAACCACTGAGCTATCCCTCCCACCAAAGTAACATCAAAGAGGACTCCAGAAAGACAGATTTTTAAGATCTTGGTGAGTAGTTTATTACCTGACTAGGGACTTGAACCCTGGACCCTCAGATTAAAAATGTGATACTCTACCAACTGAGCTAGCCAGACTCACTTAAAACTGAGCTTCTTCTCAACATACCTAAGGAGGCTTGATTCTGTTCTACATTTCTCTGTGTGATACAGAGACCCGCTGGTGGGTCACTACCCTGTGTAATTTCCATTACATGCATCTGACGAAGTGGGCATTCACCCACGAAAGCTTATGCTCCAATACGTCGGTTAGTCTTAAAGGTGCCACAGGACTCTCTGTTGCTTTTTACCCTGTGTCAGCAACTCTTGTCAGGCCTGACATACTCACTACACCTAACACCCTCTTGTCCTAATCTGTATCTAAAAGATGTCATGTAAGATATCACTGGAAAACTAATATCTCACTAATCATTAATAGTTTTGTGTGAGGTATGTACAGAGTTAGGAATTTGTGCTAGAATAATGTTCTTAAAATGTGTTTGGCAAGCAATGCACAAGCCCAGTCTGCCTTCGATAAAGGAATGTGCATTTGTTTGTCTGACCAGGCTGTTCATCAGGCAGAGACAACGAAGGCACATTTACATAGAAAGGTAAACAAAGCCTTCAACCTAGCAAGCATGGGAGATAGCCACTTGCAGGGGTCTGAAAGCCAAATGGTAAGCAATTGAACCAACAGATTGTATGCAATATTACTGTATTATAAAAGTATATTAAGTTAGGTCTTTTATGAAAGCTACTGCCACAGGGGTGATTAATATCATTGTGAAATATAGATATTCATATTATGGAGGAATTATGGATACTCACTGATATTATGCTTCAAAGTCTGTGACCAAGCAAAAGGAGAGACAAGTTTTCTCCCAGACAGGAGGGGAGGCAACGGAACAAGGTGTATCAAAGACAATGGAAGCCCTATTTACATAAGAATCAGCAGGGGATGGGAAGTCAACAGGAAGGAAAGAACGTCCTGAGTCTGAGGACACAACAGTGAGTTTGGAGAGATATAAGGAAAGAGAAGAAGTCACCTTGGCATCTATCACTGGACAAGGACAAGGGCCCAGCATTCTTGCAAGCTGAGAAAGATGGGTTCTTCAACCAAGAGGGTTAAAGTCTCTGGGAATTGAATGTAAATGAAAAATCTACTTAGGCAAAAATCTTTCAGCTAGAAAAACAAGGGAAACCAGTACCTTGCACTTCCGTGGAAGAGCCTGAGAGTAAAAACATCAGCAATGGCTGGAAAGGAGAAAGATTGGTAAGAAATCTACCTTGAACAAACTCTCTCTGTAACTTGAGTTAAGTCTTAGCCACTAGAAAGCACATTTTACTTTTATTTCCTTCTAATCATTTTGTTTTTATCCCTTGCACTTGAACTCACTTAAAGCCTATCTCTTGTGGCTAATAAACATGGTTTACTTTTAATCTAAACCAACCCAGGGCTGTGTTTGAATTGAGGTGATTGTTAGCTCCAGTTAAAGCAAGAAGTTGCTGCTCTTACATTTCTTTAAAGGAGAAACAGACCCTACTGTTCCTCTGAATGTTCCAGGAGAGGGCTAGACGTTTCAGGGCAGACGGCTTTGAGGGATTGCAGGACTGGGGGTGTGTTGGGGTCACTTAGTTAGTACTAACCAAGGCAGGTGAAGACCAGAGTGCGACTGTGGTATAACAAGCAGGCTGCTGAAGTCATTGTTGCCAAATCAGGGCTGCTCAACATACACAAATGCTCAATGAATGCTTGTAGACTGGCTGGGAGTGTCCAGACAAGGAGCTACAGCAGCAGAACATGTGAAGGCGCTCGGGGTTACAGGACAAAGCATTCGGAGGTCATTCACCTGCCAAGCAGATAGCTCAACTTGCTGGACATTCTTAACCCTAACTGTATGAACGGGGACACAGATTTCATCCTTGTGTACTGTAAAAAGTTCTGTAGCAATGGACCATTCCACTGCAGCTACTGAAGGGTGGGAGGATGGTACCTGCCATTTTATTGTTGTGCTTGAGGCTGTGCAATCTACAAATATAAAGATAGTCCCTGCCCTGAAGAGTTTGCAGTCTAAAAGACAGACACAGAAAACAGGACACATTGTGAAATGCAGAGGTAGGGATAAATTTGTGTGTATGGTGATTGTCTACATAATTAGCTAATGTAAATCAGCATAACCCTAGGGGCAATGAAGCTGTGCCAATTTATGCCAGCTGAGTATGTGGCCCTGTACATATACAGGAAGTCAGTCGTCAGCACTGAAATGCAGCCACCTCTGAGGTGGAACACAGCAGTGATACCCAATTTCTTTGCTCTTGAGAAATGCCTGAGTGCCGGGTAAATTTACAGGAGGACAAAATGATTTTTGTTCCTGGTCACCAGATTCTGCAGAGGACGTCATTGTGGAGCCAGCATGTGGGAAAAACTCCTCAACCTTTTCATCTGTTCAGTGCTATTATTTTGATTCATAATCATTAACAGCTTGGTCCCATGGTACTTCCCCTATCTAGACATGCATTATGTCATCTTCGGTAATATATTAAATCTCTGTCACTGGAAAGAGTTACTTTTGAAGACTGCTATTTCCTAAGAGCTGCCATAACACACACGTTTTTAAAAACCTTTTCGTAGACACACACAATGTGTGTGCCAAGTCTTCAGAAGATGGTTGTGATTCAGGACGATCAATGTAATGCTATGCCCATTCCTTTGTTAACCCTTCCACTGGTGCATTCAGCTATGGCTGGTGTATTGCAGAAGAACACAATAAAATTCCTTGGAAAAGCAGACTAGTTCTGATAGAGTGCCACTGCTATTGAAAGTGACAAACAATTATTGCAATGGTGTTATATCAACTTAAAACTGAAGTAAGACAGTGGTGAATCAGTCCTTATAAGTCTAGGTAAATCTGGCACTGTCTATCATGAATCTATCCACAGATTAGTAGGGGATTTCCCTGTCTTATAGAGTCCTCAGTCTGGTATTTCTTTTTAATGCAACTCAAAATTTGTTTTCTTTTAAGAAAGAAAACAGTGACTTGGACAAATAAAGTTGACTAAATAAAAATGAAGTTCACAGTAGATGAATTCTCAGTATATAGCATTCATTGAAGAGAACGAATTGTCCATTTTAATTTATTCCCTGAGACTATTTTTATTGGTGTGTGCATAGACTTTATTCATATCAGACAACTTAAATCTATCAATAGGTATAATGTTTGGGTATCATGTAATAATCATGTTTTATTTGCTTACACAAGCATAGCCTGTAGGCAGGAGCTACGCCTAAGAAATAAATCAGGCAGAGAGACAGACTACTAGTGCTATATTCAGCATCTAAAACGAATTGCATCGCAGCAGACACGCAACATTACACCAAGATCTAATTCATGGAAAAGCAGATAATAAGCAGCAAGACCATCTGCTACAGCACCAAATCGCAAATCCCTATAATGTTACAACAGGTATTTACAGGGCACCTTTGAATTGTCATATCTGGTCTTTTCATTCCCTCTTGTACTCTTCATGCCCAAGTGAAGGTATAAGTGAGAAGGAAGCAGAGTTGTTGTCATTTCCTGGTTGCAAGAGGGGGCAGGAGGAATTTTGAATACCAAGTTTGACTAGCAAACACAAGCCACCCACAGCTAGGCAAATAGAGAGACTGTCAGTAGCCTTACAAGGGGGTATTAACAGAGAATATCCATTGCACTTGGGGCTGCGGAGGCTGTCTTCAGTCACTCAAAGGTGGGTTTTTTATAGCAAGATAATGAATGCGGGATACTCAGCTCACTGAACTGTGTATATATACCTGTCTACGGTATTTTCCACTCCGTGCATCTGATGAAGTGGGTTTTAGCCCACGAAAGCTTATACCCAAATAAATGTGTTAGTCTCTAAGGCGCCACAAGTGCTCCTCGTTGTTTCAGCTCACTGTGAAATCCAAAGTGGAGACAAGGCACTTGTAGTGTCTATCCCAAAGTAACTAGGCAGAATCAGCAGCACTATACCTACCCACCCACCTGTGGTGACATAGGGAGGTAGGACCTCCTAGCCCGTTGAGTCCAGTTCCTTACTATTACAGGGAACTCCAGCATATTACCCCATTCATCAAGCACCATCTTAAAACTAGATTCATAGATTCTAGGACTGGAAGGGACCTCGAGAGGTCATCGAGTCCAGTCCCCTGCCCGCATGGCAGGACCAAATACCGTCTAGACCATCCCTGATAGACATTTATCTAACCTACTCTTAAATATCTCCAGAGATGGAGATTCCACAACCTCCCTAGGCAGTTTATTCCAGTGTTTAACAACCCTGACAGTTAGGAACTTTTTCCTAATGTCCAACCT